CTTTCTAACTTATGTGCAAACCAAATAAGCTAAAACATAGAACTAGTAAATAAGCAAACAAAATAAAAAAACGATTTGAATATTCATACTTGAGTGCTATCATGTCGAACATTGATTACAGATGGTTTGTGTGCATCAATAGGTAGATTTAATGCAACGTTTTTTGAATCTTTTACTTGAATAGATAATCGAACATTTGATGAACTCTATACATGAATTTATTTAAATATTTATCAAATTATATTATATGTATATATATATATATTTACTTTATTTTCTACAAAAAGTATTGAACCACAATCATCTTTATAATTATAACATTGAACAGATAAATTATTAAGTTTTATTTGTTGTCCTTTATTTTCTAAAAATTTCACAAGAACTTTTTTTATTTCAGCTAATTCAATATATGATGTTGGTTTAAGATGAAGATCAGGTTGATTGATATGTACAGTTAAATTAAATTGACACATCTATGAATAATAATAGAAGAAATATTAACATATAAACAAATATTTAAAACAAACCATATCAAGTTCAAGTGCATAGTTAAAACCTATAGATTTTAAACCATTCCATAACTCTTGTTCACTTGTATCTCGATCTTGTACTTCAAAATCATTTAATTTTAAAAATTTTTCTTTTGAAACATTTTCATCAATATCCAAACCAACATGTTCTAAATTTACAACAAATAAATCGATGCTTATTTTTTGAAAAATAATAAGAATTTTACCTCGAATAGATGACCAATCATCATCACTTATTTCTTCTCCTGTTGTTCTTACTGTCCATAAATTATATTCATTTCGATCAAGTTGTTTATTATCTAAAGAGAAACACGTTAAAAAAATAAAATAAAATAATTTGAAATGAATAATTTTTTACCATCAAAATCAAATAGATCAAATACATATTCAAGTGCATCTCTAAAAGATAATTTAATTTTAAAAATAGATATAAAAATAAAAAGTAAATAAATCTTACAATTACTATTAGATTATGCTTAATCAATTGTTGTTTTCGGTTGTTCATATCCAATATAAAAACAAAAGCTAATACAGAAAAGGTTTCGTTTTTTAAAATAAAATCGGAATAAATTTACCTTGAACTAATTTCTTACGATGTGTTATTAATACTTATTCAGGTGAATCAGTACAATATCCAAAAACTACTTTATGATATTTAATATTATCATCACTAAAATTTTTCCAAAGGATATTCATTCTTTCCACGATCTTGTTGTCGAAAACGATGAACGATTATTTGATATTGATAATGATGGTGATAAAGAATAGTCTGTCGAATTATCAGATCTTGACATTTGAAAATTTGGTGATATTCGACTACTAAGACTTGTATTACTTTTTATTGATCGATTAGAATTCATAGTTTGTTCAAAACAAAAGATTAATCTTCTTTTATTATTAGTTATATATCACAATGTTCTAACCTCCGTTTTATCCAACCAAACAATGTTCAGTGATGTTTGTTTGTTTGTTTGAAACGTAAGATTGGATGAAACATGTGGCGCAATCTTCTATGAAAAAAACAACTGAGGTAGTGTTAGATTTTGTGTTCATTTATTTTAAACATCGTGGCGACAATCAGTAAACAAATCAGCAGTTAAATCAGCTGCACCAATATATTTTTCGAATTTACAAATAGTTTTAATTTCTTGTCAATAGAATTCATCAACTGAAAAATCGCAGTGCGTTATAATTCAACAAGTGTATCTGATTCCTGTCGAGTAGATCATATTGATTTTAATTCAATTTGAAATAAAGTTAAATCAACTGATGATACCATTAAAGAAACTTATTAAAAAAAAATTCCTTATCATTATTGTAAAGGAAAATATAATGTAGAAGAAGTAATGAATGATATCATTTAAAAATTTCTATATTTTTTATTCATTATCAAGAAAAAACATTAATTTATAGTCTGAAACAGTTTGTTCACACAGCAAATATTTAAAAAACATTCATCACAAACAGATTAGTAAAAAAAAAAAAGAATATTTATAATTGAGGTGATGGAGGTGGTATAGGTACTTGTACACCATTATAAAAAGCAGATGAATAAGCTGGATGATTTATAAAATAGTTTGTAAATGCTTCTTGTGGTACAAGTCCATTTTGTAAAGCATGATTAGCTTCTAAATTTCTCCATAGTTGTTGATAATCAGTATTAATACCATATAAATTTGACATATCTTGTATAACACGACGACCCATAGTTGGTGTTATATAACCATTATTTGGTGCATAATGATTGAGTAAAAAATTTAAACGTACTTGTGGACTTAATGAATTTTCTAATAAAATATAAGCAGAAATAAATTCATCAAATGTTAAACGTCCTGATTTGTTTCTATCAAATGTTTTAAATATTCGATCAGCCATTGCATTATGTAGTCGTGTAAGTTCAGAAGGTGTTAAATGAAAATAATCAGGAGAATTTGGTGAAAAACACATTAAATTTTTATAAATACGACGAAATTCATGTTTATCAAGAAGATAATCTTTTGATACCCGACGAAAATCTCTATAAATATTTTCCAATTGAAAACGAGGAATTCCAACTAAATTTGATATTTCATCGAGTTCGCATGATGATGTTCCACGGCCTTTTTGTCGATTACCCATTTTGTTTTAGTGAATATGTGTGTTTGAAAGTAGTATTTATACATTCGAACACCCCCGCTAAAAATATTGATTTATATCATTACTCCAATGACAGACTGTCATCATCATCATGTGAATAGTATATGAATAATATTTCACCTTGGCAATTACTCATTTATTTGTTTATTTGATTTGTAGATAGGAAAAAAGGTATCGGTGGTGGACAGGGTATTGATAAATATGAAAAGGATAAATCTGCAGTTGGTTTTGATTATAAAGCAACAATTATAAAAATATTTTTGACAAAAAAGTTAATTTTTTAATTAAATACTTTTTATTTTACTTTGAAAAATACAATTTTTGTATTTTGATTATACTATTGGCTTTGGTGGTATATATAGTGCTAAAAAAAGAACCTGCTAGTCCTTTGCTTGTTTCATCTTCTCCAAAAGCACTTGCTGATATATTTATCATTGTCTTCGTCACACAATTACATATCTTTCTTTATTCTTTCAGAAACAAAAGTTATCGAAACGCTTACAACAGTGTACAAGTAGTAAAGCACATGTTGGTAATATTTATGCAGGCTAAAGTTGAGAAACTAGCTCACTGAATCATAAATTTATGTATCATAAAGATTTGAAAATATGAAAAAAGAACAAGAATCAGAAACTGCAAAACATATTTCTGAAGTAAGAAAAATCGACCTGCTACTGAACAACAGAAACAACAATTGAATAATGATGATCAAGAAAAAATAGAACAACAGGAAACAGTTCAAATGGCGAAACAAGTGTATTGGCGTGGGTCTTGTACTCACTTACATCTACACTAAAAGTCACAAGTCACATTCATATCTTACGATCGCAATTACACATGTCATTGAGTTGCATCTGGTGCATAGACCTTTCACTTATTTCGTTATTTCTATTAGAATTATACCCCAACTCATTTCTGAACAGGATAGAATTTCATCAGGTACAGCTAGTTGTTCAAAATACGTACAGAAGAGTTCGTAACAATTGAATTTAGTTGCTATATCAAGACGATCGTGAACTGAAGAAAAAAAACCACTTATTTTATAAAATAAACGGATTATTCCATTAGATCAAAGTGAATTTTAAACAAGATGATTCTTATATGGTAAAAATTGATCAAGAAAATACTCGTTATAATCTAGATATTGCTGTCAATATGGAATTGACCATAAAATGAGTTAATATCATTTTGATTATTGTATCAAATGCTACAAGAGCTATCGTAATTCCTACTGTAAAGGATTGGTGAGGAGTCCGAAAGAATGAACAAGTAAATGAATTTATCTTTGTGATTGATTGTAGTGAATCGATGGTAGATTACCATAGCCTCCGATGCAAAAAACATTCCATCAGCGAAACAGAGAGTTAGTCAAACGTAGATTGATTTGGGCGAAACTGGAATAGTACGTTTGATGATTTGATTTTATATGATTTAACTTTAGTCTTTTTAGTTAACACTCTTATAATTATTGAAATAGCAGTGCCCAATAGAATGTCACTTATATAATATAATTCTTCTTACTCCTTGTTAAAGACCTTGTCAGATAACGAACAGTCAGTTCATGTTTATTTCACCTAATAATAGAGTAGATGAGTATGTACAAGAACAGTTGCATAAAATTCTGTACCCAAGCATCATCCATATTCAAATGAAACGAAATTTCGATGCAATCAACATATGAACAACACTCATTAGATTGTCTTCTGTTTATATCAATGAACTGTTAGACTGTTTATGGATTCGTTGAAATCACGTTTTCAAGACGAAACAGATTCAAAGAAGAAGAAGAAAGGAACAAAAGAAACGCATTATTGAATTGTCCTTAAATTACTGCAACCTAACTCTATATACAGTATTCGTTGATGTAGAAAAACTTGTAGCCAGAAAGAATATCGATATGGTTATTTGCAATGTGCCACTCTAACTATCAGCTGACGATCAGAACACGAGTGCGTATGTGCACGTGTGCGTGTGGGTGTTGGTGTAGGTGAGGATGAGCAGGAAAAAAAGAAACATACCTACACACACACCCACACATTCAAGCTGATACTTTCGAAACGTATCATACTAAATGTTTGTTTTGTCAATCAATATAAATTATTGTAAAAGAGTAACTAAAGTTGAATGAATTACAATATTGTTTCAACTAAACATAAAAAAAGGACTCACTTCATTTGTTGTTCATTATTAGTTGAAGAACAAACTTGATGACCTAGAATAAATAATAGATACAAATTTAGTTGGACAATAAAAAGTTTACAAGTTAAACATTTTCTTCGAGAATCATAATTAATTTCACCTAAGTAGATTCCATCACTGCATGGAGTTTAATATTCAGTCAAAGTCGAAAATTTCAGATTTATTAATTTTAAAAAGGCTGATATTAAACATATTTTTTTTACTAGGCCATGATGATGCATGCATTATAGTCAGAAAACTAAATTTTCAAATATTTAGAAATGATTTGAAATTTAACATTTTTTCGATCTTTCTTTATTACTGCATCAGTACAATTAATTCTCTATCAAAAAAATGGAGTAAATCCGCTAATATACAAACAGGCAATTATCTTCCCACATAAAAACAAGTTTAAGCATGATCTTGTTTTTGAGAAGAATCTATGGTACAGGTCTCTACATAGAATGATGATCTGATAAATGATTTCAAAAGAAACATGATCTCATTTTGACTTTCAAAAAAAAAATATATATGTCATTATCACATTTTTGTATACGTCATCGAAATTGATTTTTCTGTTTTTCAGTTTTATATATCTTGTTTGTTCAATTTTGGTTACTTATTCGGAGACAATAAGAATGTGAAGCTTTCTTTTGAATATCACGTCGTTAGCTTCTTGTCTTAGCATATCACTGATAGTAATAAGCAGATTCTTTATTAAATTATGTGTCTTCTGCAAGGTGAATGTTTTATGTGTTTCTATCGTACAATCTCATGATGACTCAGTAAATTATTAAACATACCCGTGTTTTATCTGCTGTAAATATCAAAAACTAATTAGTGCTATGATTTTGTTGCATACGATTTGAGTATTTTCAAGTTAGATATGTTTTGTAAAAGGACTGAGAAATTATTCTTAAATTGTCAGAAATAAAGATTTTTACTAAAGTATTACCTCTTATATTTACTACTAATATATAGGATGATACCTATACATTATCGTTAAATTATTTTTTGTATATTGACTAATTTCTCTTCTTTCTCTTCTTATTCTTTCTCTCTGATGAGTCGTTCACAACGCCGTTCATCTATTTCAGTTTGTATTTATTTAAATCTTTTATTTGAAAAATTCTTCGATGCTCTGTGATCACGCATCTGAAAAATGAATAATTGAATAAACTCTCTTCGGAAATAAGCTGATAATATATCGGTATCGCATTTTTCGATTAAACTTGTTTATTTCGTTTAGTAAACAAACTAAATATTTCATCAACGTCACATACATATTAATCGCTAAATCATAGAAATCGAAATAGACAATTACTTTAAACAGATACGGATATTTGAATATATCGCCCTAGGTACTATGAAAATACTCAATGAATATCTCGATGAGATTTCTAAAGAAATATTCAAAAATATAGAAAAAATAACAAATTTTCTTTTATTTTTTTTAATCACTTTTATTTCTCCTCGATTATGTTTGGATAACATATTCTAAACAAGATTGTTAATATGGATTTTATAGATCATTTTATTTAAATTG